AATTAACAAACGGAGACGTAACAATATTAAATTTAAAATAACAAATTTTTGCCTTGATCAGGCTTAACGCTCACTGCCATAGCAAACTCGTAATAATACACATCGTTTCGCTTGTTATAAATGTACACTTTTTTTCCTATCACCCTTACGTCATTGAGAGGGTCCCACATTTCATGAAAACATTTTTAGTACACTGGAAGGATAGTTTTTTTACACCTCTACATCGAGTACTACGTAACCAGGAGAAAGTAATCCGATTAACGGCCTCTTTCATGTAAGCAGCTTTTTTTTATATCTTACAGATCACTTTAAAAAAAGTGTAAGTTAACTCGTATAGTTTCTTTTATTTATATTTATTTTGAGGTTACTATAGCATGTAAAGTATATATAACCCATAATTTACATCATAAAAAGTTTAAAACGAAAATGAAATTCTGACCCCTCACGGTAGGAAAAAAAAAAGAGAGAGAATAATACGAAATATATTAAGCACTTTTTTATATCTACTTATTAAAACCTAGTGTTCGGTGTGATATTATAACACAACCTGCTAGTTGAATAAATTTTTATTTTCCAGTATAGAAGAAAGTTCAAACAACGGAATTGGTACACTTATCCCCTATAAGAAGAAAATTAAATATCAATATTCAATGTAGCAAATAAAGATCTGCAAATCGTCAAAACAATCTAGCTTTCTCTTTAATTGTACAACTGACACATATCAAATATATATTTCACTCAGTACTGGGAGTGAACCTGGAGGAAGGTATACCTAATTAAGCACTTTGACAATTCACACTACTAGGGGCACACAGTGGCTTGTGAAATATTATTATCATACAGTTTCAAATTATGTGATTATAAACTAATTCACTCACCAGGTGGGTGCATATACAGCTTTAAGGGAGGGAGGGATTGAACAACCATCCCAATATTCTCAAAATTCCACTGTCTTTTGATTTTTAAAAATAAGTCTTGACTTTTTACGTAAATTACATAGATTCTTCGTCCACACATACAGTAGATCATATAAACTCTAAATCACATACAGCACATCCATAGATTAATAATTTGGAACTTGAGAGAATTCACAAGAAATTTTATATTGCTATTGTTTGTTTGTCGTTAAGTGTCAAGCGATATAATGAGCTATTTGTGCTCGGCCTACCCTAGGTTTCGAAACCTAGTTTTTAGAGTTGTAAGCCTTCAGACTCATAACTAAGCTTAGGAGCGCTAGAGGAGGTTGTAACTCTTGTACTCATGTGAGCAAATTGAGAACACCAAGGTAAGGGCGCCTTAACAGCCAAACTTGCAACAGTTTATTACAAAAAATAATTTTTTCATGTTTTTTTAAAAGGTTATTTACATAAAATGCTACAACAACAAAAATATAAAAATAAGATAGCCTATAAAAGCTTGTGTTAAACTTACGTGTGAAGTACACATTCATTCATCGTCGTGGGTGTTAATAACTATTTTAACAAATCTATTAATTTTTGAACATGTTTTGAGTGTTTTTGGCCTGAATTCCTTTAGATTATTTGGTCAACTAGTAAGGAAGTGATTGGTCATAAAGTAGTATATAGTCAGGAAACCCGTATTATTATATACCTTCTATTCTTACATATGTACCCCCCAATGGCACGGCGGTATGTCTACGGACTTACAACGCTCGAAACCTGGTTTCGATACCCGTGGTGGACAGAGGACAGATACCCCATTGTGTAGCTTTGTGCTTAATTACAAACAAACAATCTTGCATATGAAAATTAAACACAATAGTGCCATCTACTATAATGTCTATACTTGTCGAATTATAAGGAGCCTAATTAATTGTAAATGAACGGTAATATACAGTTATAACGTAATCAGCAATCTACGTGCTGAACTTACTGACTTCCCTAATTTGCGGCCTCAGTTTATGTACTAACAAGTTCTCTTCCACAGAACGGTTTTGTTTATTATTGACATTTGCCAAGGTCTTAAAATAATTTTAATGGACAGCTATGCCACACTCACCTGAGCATGCTCCATTATTCGTTTCTCACAATAAATGTACATGTTTTGTAGCTCGAGTCAGCAGTTACTGGGGCTTAGAAGCGATGTAACCTAGCTTGCTACAATGACAGGTAAAGTGACAAACTAAATTCGATGTTCTCAATGTAGAGGTACGATCTATATATTAGAAGAAATGTTTCATGCGGCACCCTAGTTTAAAAAACATATCTCATTTGAACTTGCGGACACAGCTATTTTCTTTCTTTCTTACATACAAATAATAGTTATTTCATGGTAGCATTTCGGAACTTAGTACATTGATGATTTAGGGAAGTTTCATTTGTTCAAATAGTCATCATTTATTCCATAAATCAAATGTACATAAAAATAACTCACGTTAGGATATCCTAATGTTACCAAACTATGCAAAATTCATAGGTGCTTAATATTTTATATACCGATGAGCTAAGGTCTTAACCAACCTAAAAAAAAAAGTTGAATTATAAATCGTAAAATTAAAATACAAGCCAGTAAAATATTTATATTGTAAACGTCACATTCAAAATCAAAGTTACTATTATAATTATAGTCACAGTGTTTTTAAAAATACACGATGCTTGCTATATGAATACACGCGAAACTCCGATAATATAATGGTCTAAAATACTGCATACGATCCTACAAACACAATTTTTCGTGAAAACGATCAACTAGGTGAGTGTGATATAGTCGTTCATTCAAAATATTTTAAGATCTTAACATGAGACAATGCTGACCAAAGCCTTCCCATAAAGAACTTGTTCATCCACAAGCAGAGGCTGTAAATAAATTAAAGTCAGCCCGGCATATATGTTACAATGTATGCGATTATATGTTAATTTATTACTGATTTGCAATAAAATAAAGCTTTCAGGCTAAATCCTATGTGAGTCCATATTATGTCTATTATCGTAAACTTTAAAGCTTATTCGTGAACTCTTATAGACGAAGAACAAAAAGTCGTGCGCAGCATAATAAATATATACTGATAAGCATTACCGAGGCCAAGTAGCAAATGTAGTTTTAATCATGTATACTTACTTCTGTGCTCGCTCGTATTACCTGTTGTAATACTTTATTATATTGATCGGCTTACTGCTCCTACAGTGCCTTGCGATTATGCTGTAATCTCAAATATCAGAATGTTTCAGACATTAAAAGTATTTATCTCATGATTTGAATAGTTTCAGGTTAAGTTAAATTCTTAGTTAGGCATTGTGTACAACGACAATTAACGTAACTACTTATTCTCGAATTGATTCACGGATTGCACTGCTATTCTAAACACTAGGCGTCTAAACGTCGTTGTAGTTCCACTAGTACACACGCACGTTTACTTCTAACATGCTGGTCTCGTGTAGGTTGGTTCAGTAGAATTTTTTTTTCGTAAGGTCATTAAGTGTTAACGTTAGAGACATATCTGATGAGCTGTTCTCTTTTATATTTGACAAAAGATATTGTTTCTTGTAAACTTACCCGACTTCTTACTTTTCGTATTGGAATAAGAGAGTCACTTTCAAGTTGAACTTATAAATCAGGTAAGCCTAAGCTAAACAGCTGATGTTAGCATTGCTTTGGTGAATATACTTTACTAGCAATATCAGTACTCTTTAGAATATAGAAATAACTTTAGTTTGTGTAACTTTCAATTGTTATTTATTATAAGCTAATTTGTGTAACGTTAACCATTATTTATCGGTCGATTAATGTATTTACTTCTGCTGCCTTAACACAGCTTTTATTTGTGCACGAATTAGCTGAAAGTTACCTTATTAGTATTAACAAATAAAACAGTTATTTTTATTATTCGTAATCGCCAAACGACATTTTTTTATGATGGGGAAGCTAGGCCTAATACCATGTCTAGCATGGTAGGGTAAAACGTTCGTGTTTAGCGAGCGTTATAATATATAGCAGTCTGTGTTCAAGAGCGGTAAACGTTCCCATTTTTTGGCCTGTGCAGTGTAGCGTTGCTTAATAGTGGTAACTTATTCTTAATGAGAGCATGTGGATCGGTTGTTGTTGCAAGAAAAAACAACATACTGTTACGTCTCCGTTCGTTAGTTAATTTTCCGTAAATTCGTTCCGAC